GGCACCTGGTCTCCAACTGTTGATTGTAATATTGCCTGATGTGACTGGATCATATGGTAAGTCTGTACAAATGATTGGTAAAATTTTGTGCAAAATTTATTCCAGCAATCTGTTCATGAAGTTCTTCTGTCCACAGGAAAAATCAAAAGGATCTGTGAAACAGAATTGGGGATCGTCTCTCAGTGTTGCCAACCAAGACAAGCTTCTAAACTCAATAAGCAGTACATGGAAAATGTTGCCTTGAAGATTAATGTCAAGGTCTAATCATCTATGCTTCTTATTGTGTAATCATTCAGCTGTTTTTTATGACGGTATAAAACGGTTATTTGTGTTACAGACTGGGGGAAGGAACACTGTTCTTAATGATGCTATTAGAAGAAACATACCTCTTATTACTGATCGCCCAACCATAATCATGGGTGCTGATGTGACTCACCCGCAACCTGGAGAGGACTCGAGTCCTTCTATTGCTGCTGTATGTATATCTTATCTTACTTGTATCTCATTATACTATTGATTCATTATAAACGTTAATTCTCTTATTTAAACTACAGGTTGTGGCCTCTATGGACTGGCCTGAGATAACTAAATACCGAGGACTGGTTTCTGCTCAAGCTCATAGGGAAGAAATTATCCAGGACCTGTATAAGCTGGTTCAGGATCCACAACGTGGGCTTGTCCACTCTGGTTTGATAAGGTACATAAGAACAAAATGTCTACAACTTTTTGTATTCTTTGATTTTTTACAAGAACAAATAATATGGACACTGTTTGTGATTGCAGAGAACATTTCATAGCATTCAGGAGAGCTACGGGCCAGATACCTTCAAGGATCATCTTCTACCGGTAAATGGTTTTACTTGAACTGTAATAATCTGTTCATGAGGCAGGTTTGGCTAATTGTTTTCTCTTTATACAGTGACGGAGTAAGCGAAGGGCAGTTTAGTCAGGTTCTGCTCCATGAGATGACTGCTATACGCAAGGCTTGTAGCTCTCTCCAAGAGAATTATCTTCCTCGTGTCACTTTCGTGATCGTCCAGAAACGTCACCACACTCGTTTGTTCCCTGAGCAACACGGGAATCGTGATACGACTGACAGAAGTGGCAATATTCAACCAGGTTTCCCACTCTCTGCTCTTCTCTATCTTAATTCCTTTGAAGATCGAAATTCAAGTAACATATTTGCATTTCCTTATTAGGTACTGTCGTTGACACTACAATCTGTCACCCGAATGAGTTCGACTTCTATTTGAACAGCCACGCTGGTATTCAGGTATTACTTCCAGAATCTTAGACCACTTAATGATCTCTATTGTCTCTGCAGAATTCTAAGTTTCTTTATATGTTTGAATGGTAATAGGGAACAAGCAGGCCGGCGCATTACCATGTTCTCCTCGACGAGAACCGTTTCACTGCTGATCAGTTGCAAATGCTCACCAACAACCTATGCTACACGTAAGAATCAACATCACTGTACATTTTCCTTTGACATGTTTTAACTCTCTGAAACTAACAAAACATAAAAACTGTGTACAGGTTTGCGAGGTGCACAAGATCTGTGTCAATTGTGCCACCAGCCTACTACGCTCACTTGGCTGCTTTCCGTGCGCGCTACTACATGGAGAGTGAGATGTCTGATGGAGGCTCGAGCAGGTCGAGGAACACAACAACAGGTGCGGGTCAAGTCATTTCGCAGCTCCCAGCAATAAAAGATAACGTCAAGGACGTTATGTTTTACTGCTGATGATACTTCTTCTTCTCTTTACCAGTTTCAAAAGCCGTTAATACTTTAAAAAAAACTATATGCGGCTCGGGTTTGACCACTTTTGGGTTTGGCTGTGAATGTTTTGAAGGATTCGGCCAACTTTTTCTCTTAGGACTTATATTATGCGTTTTGGTTTAAGACATATGATCTGATGACTCGTTTTGTCGTTTGTAAACACACCAATGGTTAATTATGGGTTTTTGGACGATCATTTGCCTCAGTATTTTTACTTATGGTATATTGCGTAAATTTCTTGGTATTATTTTTTTTGCTTCGAGAATTTGTTTTATTCTTAGGTTGATTGTCGGCCTCTGCTTTTTATCTTTCCATGGGTTTTCGTAATTTTCACAATGAAATTGAAAATCCAAGTCATGTTTTCAGCAAAAAAAAAAAAAAAAAGGGAAGAAAAGTGTGATATATGTATATGTGTAATTACCATTACAGTAATAGGATAAATAAACAAAAATGGAAAGTTCTGGGAAACTTGGGAAGCAAGTTTAATAAAGGAGTATCTCAACATGACAAAACCTACCTGGAACTTGCGTATAAAGCCTTACTCTCTCTTACTCTTCACATAAACACATCAGAATCAGATCACTCTCTTCCAAACCCCAGTTTCTCTCCTCTTTTGTTGCTTTATCCTTGATTAGATCGGGATAAAAAGATAAGCAACACACACAATAGACCGAGAACGACGCAGAAGCAAGAGTTCTTAATTTGTTTGAGGCAGCAATTCGAGCAGCTAAATCGGAGAGAGCTGATAATTAAAAATTCTCTGAGATCTCGAGGCGTGTCAAAGCTATGAATCGTTTGAAGTAATCTCCTGACTCTATTTCTTGTGACGTTGTCTCCAGAACCTCCATTTGAAAGAGACTAAGATTCTTCGTCGATCATACAAAACCTCAAATTCAATTTGAAAGAATGCTTCTTTGGGTTCTTTGGCTGGAAATTCTTTCCGCTTGGGTAGAAACAGAGCCGTAACAGAGTTTGAATGTAAACAACAGTGTAAGTTTAAATTTTGGTTTGCAAAGTTTGTATTTAATACTCAGTTTCATTTGTTAAAACAAAAACATTAATTTTCCAAACTTGACCTTTGCTTCAGTTCTTTTGTTAATCTCCAATACAAACATTTATGATAAACTCAAATATAATTTGACTCAATGTCTTATGATGATTCATGTGGTTTCAAGTTTCATGAATCCTTCTGAATCTAGTGGAGGGTTTAAATTACTCTTAAAAACATAAGGTTTCCTTAAAATTTTCATAAACTAATAATATTAAAATTCAAAACTTCGAAATATATATATATAGAGTAGTTGCATTGACGGTCAAACGAACAACAGAAGAAGTCGCTAGTCGCAGTGGCTTATCGCGAGCAACTAGTAAATGAACATGCCAAATTTAAGTTGTTTAAAATGAGCGGTCCATAACTCAACGCAAACACAATTTTTGAAGTTAACACATGTTGTATTAGTGACAGTTATCTCTACCATTTTGAAGAATGATAGGATACAGAAAACTGTATTTGACACACTACCGATGTATGGTTTTTTTTTTTTTTTTTCCGACCTCAGTATGAGGTTTACTACATATGTGGAAAATTAAGAGTTGAGTTGTACATATGATGCGGATGAATATGCTCATGACTGAAAGCAGTCATGATCTTTATGACAGAGTGCCGCCTCACAAACTTGGATATCACGGGATAATAGAAAAAATGCATTCATCATAGTTTGTACTATTCGAGGGGGCACCATTTTGCTTGTTGTGATCATCTTTTTTTTTGGAAGATGAAAAATAAGTCCCAACTATATTATTATTATTACTAGGACTCAGGACTCCCGCGATGTCGCGGGGGAATATATTTCAAAAATCATTTAAAAAAATATCAAACGAAAAAATCATAATGAATTGTAATAATTTTGAATTTTTTAATAACAAATCAATATATATTTTACAAAAATTATGATAAAGAAAACCCTCACAAGCATTTATTAAGTATATTATATTAGAAAAACAATAATTTGTAACTAAAAAACTATTCCCAAGTGCAAAAAGCATAAACTAATAAACCAAATATTACAATGATTTGATAAATAAGCCAAAACGTTCAACATCAAATAAACCAAATGCTATTGTGTTAAATTAAACGGTAACAACAATTCATTTAAATATATTTTAGTATTTAAATATTTTTTAAAAATATGACGAACTTATCCGAGAAACGCAACCGTAGATATCAAATATTCCAAAAACTGCAACGGTTCGTCAATTATACCAAATGTTACAATAGTTCATCAAATATACTAAAGATAACAATGGTTCATAACACAAAACCAAAAGTTGCAATAATTTGTCAAATAATCCAAATGTTGAAACAGTTCAATTAAATAGTTACAATCTCATTTAAATATATTTTAGTAATTAAAAATTAAGAATTCAAATAATAATTTATGAAAAGTTACACCGAAAGACGCGGCGGTAGATAATTAAATGTGTTAGCTATTTATAAAATAAACCAAAAATTACAATTGTTCGTGAAATAAACTAAATATATAAACCAAAGGTTGCAATTGTTCGTAAAATAAACTAAATATTGCAATGATTCGAATAAGCGGTTTCAACTGTTTATGAAGAGTTACAATAAAAAACGCAACCGTAGAAAACATTCAGAATGCAATTTATATAAAAAAAACATAACCGTAAAATATATATTTTAATTAATAAAAACATTAACGAAAAGTTGCGATAAAAAGACGCAACCGTTCAGATGTGCAAATGGTATTTATTAGATTGCTATTATATATAGATTATTATTATTATTATTATTATTATTATTATTATTATATAGTATATAGCATTCTAAACTTTTTGTTATTTACTTTTTTCAATGGATTACTTTTGTGGATTCATTTTTAATTCAATAACATTATAATCTAATAAACTTCATATATATATTTCTTTTTTTTCCAACAACAAAATTCTATTTATGGATTTGATTAGCCATATAGTGGTAAGATGTTTTATACATTAAGAGATGGCAATAGAGTAATTAAAGATAGTCTTAGAAAATTGACAAAAAAGCAAAACATAAGGAAAAAAATAAGAATATAAAAAATTGAAGAAGAGTGTAAAAAGAAGAAGTGGCTTTAATCAAACACACACCATTGTCGAAACTCGAAACTAATCAAAAGACTCAACAAAAGTCTCCTTCTTCTAGATCTCTTCCCGATCCGATTTGTGACTCACCGGAAAAAAAAAACACAGACATTTTCTCCGATCGTGAAATCGATTACTTCTTTGGAAAATTGGATGGATCAATTATTGATCTTACTGGTATAAAGAAGAGATGAGAGATGCAGCCAAATCTCTTCCCATTCGGTTCAGTTTTAGGTAATCCATTTCTCTTCAATGGCGGTGGAGATCTAAACGAACTTGGTTCTGGTGCTGGATTCGAAAGCTCTAGGGTTTTCTTCTTACTTCCTTTCTTATTATCCCAAGGCACTGGTGTTATGGATTTATCTAAAGTTGGTGAAAAATTCCTCAGCTCTGTTAAATCCGCTACTTCTCTTGGTCTCTTACCTTCACCTTCTATCTCCGATCGTCCTGAGGTAATAAAAATCTTGACTTTAACTTGTTTTGTTCGATTTCTTAACATTAATGGAGCTTGTAAGGAACTGGAATTTTTTGTGTAGATTCCGGCACGTGCTGCGGCAGCTGCTGCGGTTGCTCGTGCTTTGGCTGGACTTCCTTCTGATCAGAGATTGAGTATATCTTCTACTGCTACTGAGCTTAACTCAATTTATGGAAATAGACCTCTTCCTCAACAAGTTGAAGAGCTTGAAGAAGGATTTTATGAAGAGGTGTGTGTGTGTGTCTGTCTGCTTTATCTTAGTGTTTGTGATATTGGAAGATTTCGTATTTTATCACTAAGCCCATTAGTGACATTTTGGTTTTGTTTTTGTGTAGGATTTTGATCCGGTAAGGCATATTTTGGAGAATGTGCCGGATGATGAAAGTGAGTTAGCTTATTTTGAGAAGCAGGTACTAACTAGTAACTTTCTCGCAAGGAATTGAATATTGACTGATGCGTCTATCGTGAAAGGTATAAGAATGGTGATGAATGTTTTAGTTAGTGAGTTTGATAGGTTTTGTTTACTGTCTAGGCTACTTTGAGGTTGGTACAGCTGGATAGAGTGGCGGAGAATCTGTCTCACCATGTTATGGAGCATCATGAAGTAATGGGTAAGTATCTTGAATTGAAAAGACTTTGTCTTTTTCCTCATATGATAACCGATATCGATTGAGAAGAACATATGCGTTTGTTTTTTTGAGTATTAATATTTGCTTTTGGCCAGTGAAGGGGATGAATTTGGTAAGAGAATTGGAAAAAGATTTGAAGATTGCAAATGTCATCTGCAAGGTATGAGTTTCATATTCTTTAACCTAATTTTTTATGAACAGTACAGTGGTTTCATTTTCTATTTTATCTGTTACTGGTTTGACCTTGGTGTGACTATTTTGTGTGTTTATTGCCAGAATGGAAGACGAAATTTGACCTCTTCTATGAATGAGGCTTCAAGAGATCTTATTGTACACACTCATTCCAAAAAGAAACAAGCTCTTCTGGTAGGCTTCTCTATTTATTTCAGACATCTAGGCTCCACCGATTGTTTCTTTATTCTGCTTTCTTGAAATATTTCATGAGTTATAGTTTCCTTCTGAAACCCCCATCAATATGCTCAAGAACTTTGTGTAGAAAATTACTCTGTATATATTTTGTTTTAATCTCTGAAGATACTTTCAGGATGTTTCTATACGCAAGTACTTTCTTAGATACAATCTAATGTGTATTCTCGCCTAATTTTTTGTTTTAATATATCTAAACATACTGTGAAGATTTTTTTCTTTCTAGCATGCCTTTTTGCTTCTGGATACCATGTAATTAGAGAGGCATGAATGTTTAATTATTCTACTTGCAGGATATGCTTCCTATACTAACTGAGCTCCGCCATGCAAGAGTAATGCAGTCAACTCTTGAAGACCTTGTTGAAGAAGGAAACTATTGCAAGGTTGGTAGTTTACCTTCGTCTCTGTTGTATACTTCCATGGTTTTCTTATATGAATTATGGTGATATTATGTTATGGAACTAACAAGAGATGGGAATGTAATCCTTATTTATTATGCAGGCATTTCAAGTTCTATCTGAGTATTTGCAGCTGCTTGACAGTCTATCTGAGTTCTCAGCAGCCCAAGAGATGACCCGTGGTGTTGAGGTAGTTATGGCTTATTTATGACCAACCATTGTCTTCATAATTTTCTATTGTCAGTCGGTTGAGCTTCTCATACTCTTTTCAAGGTTTGGTTAGGAAGAACTCTTCATAAGCTGGATTCACTTTTGTTGGGCGTTTGCCAGGAATTCAAAGAAGATAGTTATGTAATGGTTAGTAAGCCAACTCATTCTCATGCATCTCTATAGCTTTCTCCTTTTGAAATTAAAAGGATGGAATTGTGGGCCTTCAGTTTAGTGGAGAACTAGACATTTTGTTCAGTGATTTAACTTGTTTATGTGCTCATACCTTTAGGTCCTCGACGCTTATGCACTGATCGGTGATGTCTCTGGTCTCGCAGAAAAGATACAAAGCTTCTTTATGCAGGAAGTTATCTCAGAAACCCACTCAGTGCTAAAGAGCATTGTTGGGGAGGTATGTGAGCTATATATTCATTTGTTGCTCCTGTAGGATGTAGTCGTGCATGCTTGGATGGTTGAATGTATTGAGCTTGCTGGTGTATGGTGCAATCGTAGTTTTTCCCCTTTATTTTTGTGCAAGCCGCAATCTTTTTTCTGTGTTGCTTAGATGTCACTTTTGATCCTAGCAGAGACACGAAAGTAGAAAATTTGAAATCTGAGGATTAATATAGATAGATATATTGAATGGTTAACAAGTTTGATTTTTTAATAGATGACATCACTCCTTTTTTTTTGCAAAAGTAAAGATGGCTACAAGTTTTTTACACGTTCTGATTTATCTTATTTCAATCTGCATGCAATCTTTTTCATAGGCGGTAATGCGTTTTTACTTCATCATACTGAGCACGAAATGAGTTTATTAAGGTCAGCATATCAAACCAATCAGATTGTTGATCCATTCTGTGTATATATTTGTTTTTGTAGGATAACAGTGCTGCCACCCAATATAGTAGGTATGCTCTATGCACTTGAGTTATTACTGGTACCTATTACAGTATCTAGTATTTATATATGGTCCCTTTTTCTTTGGATTCTAGTATTCTTTCTAATTTGTTTTTTTCTTTTTTAATTAATTTCAGACTTACCTACAGCGATCTATGCCTTCAGACACCAGAATCCAAGTTTAGGCAATGTCTTTTGAGAACACTAGCTGTGCTCTTTCAGTTAATATATTCATACCATGAGATAATGAGTTTCACGCCAGAAAAGAAGGTAGGTTCCATTCCCTGCTTTAGTTTGTATTTAACATTTTCTTATTACCTTGATACTTGATAGGGTTCTTGAAACAGCCTCTGGTTCTAATTTCAGTGCTATAATATTTTTTAGATTTCATAGTCTTAAACACCTCTGTGCAAACCTTTTACCTATTGTCTGAGCCAAACTATACCTAAACTCAGTGTATAAAACACTTCTCTTTAACACTGCAATTAGAGGAAATCTTAGCATACGTTTATAAATTTTCTGTGTGCTTGTTTAGTTTGGTGGTGTGTAGAAATCGAAGAATACCAGCTTTATTGATAGGGATTTATGTCGAAATTTATATCATCATGTATGCAAGTCTTGGTTATTACTTGATTTCCTAGTTAACATAAAATTACGAGGTTTTCTATCTAAGTACTCCATGTCAGGTAATTGATTGTACAATAATTTTGATATGTTCTTTAATTTTAGTACAATTTTTTTTTCTTTGTTTTATTCCCTGTTGGCTTGAAAGATAATGGGTCCTAAAATCTTTTCTCTTTGATGGCTTCATTGCTCGGTATCTTATACATTGTCAACTTCCTTTAGATTTTTTTCTGTATGTTGTCAATGTCAATTTATTTAAATTATCTCTAATGGTTTTTAAGGGCTAAGCTTCTGAACTGGAACAGGTAGAAAGTTTGATCTCACCAAGTCCTGCAACAACTCAAAAGGTTGATTCAGTGACCGAAAGTTCATGCGACCCACAGGATGGTGGTCTCTTTTCAGGAAGCATACCTCCTTGTACCATTTCTGCTGAAGAGTCTGATGGAAGTGGAACATCCAGTTCAGTGCAACAGGCGTCTGATATTGCAAAAGATGAGTCTAGGAATTCTGGAGATACAGTATCAAGTAGCGAGTCGCCATGGTACTATCTACGAAAAGAAAGTGCAGCTTTTGTTTCAGAAACTCTTCAGAGAGGACGCAGAAATCTTTGGCAACTTACAACAAGTCGTGTGTCAGTTTTGCTCTCTTCCCCAGGTGCTTCTTCGACAAGTATACATCAGTTCCTAAAAAATTATGAAGACCTGAGCATCTTTATCCTTGCTGGGGAAGCGTTCTGTGGATTTGAAGTTGTTGATTTTAGGGAGAAGCTAAAGGGTGTATGCGAAAATTATTTCACTGCATTTCATAGGCAAAGCATGCATGTAAGTTCAGTTTCACAATGCCTGTTGGACTAACATTGCCAATACCACATACCTAGTTAATTTCATGCATCACCTCTCCTACATGATAACATGAAGATAAAGTCTTTGTTTGGTTTTTCTTCCTAACAGGCGCTTAAAATGGTCCTGGAGAAGGAGACATGGACGAAACTGTCACCAGATACTGTGCAAGCTATTAATTTTGCTGGTCTTGTGGGGGATGGGGCTCCCCTAATTATTTCTTCCCGCAGTGCCTCGGGTTCTTCCAGATTCCCTCACTCTAATAAGTCAAATGACTCAGTTGATCCAAATGGCAACAGGAGTGGATTTTCATATTGGCTGAAAAGTGGAAACCCCTTCTCAGCAAAGTTAACTCACTATAGAGAAGATCAAGACTACTCCTCGGTCAATGGAGGAGATCATGAAGGTAATGATAGTATTCACGATGATGTTGTGAATCCCAAGATAACAGACAAAAACCACATCAACGGAGGTAGTCCTGTTTCTGAAGATGAAAACGAAGACCTTCTTGCTGACTTTATTGATGAGGATAGTCAGCTTCCAAGACGAAGTTTTACACGTAGTCAATCAAGGAGTTCTTCTTCATATTTCAATACTAATGATGATTTGACAGCTCAAACAGGATCGTCCCTTTGTCTTCTAAGGTAATATGCAGTTTAGTAAATGTTTTATAATGCAGCCTTCCTGTTACATATTTTCTGCGAGTCACTGTGTGACATGGAATTACATTCATTGTTTTTGATGTCTAAGATCCATGGATAAGTACGCGAGGCTTATGCAGAAACTAGAAATTGTTAATGTTGAATTCTTTAAGGTACCAATCTAATTCTTGGAATTCTGCATATTTCTGTACTATTCTTCCTCAATATCTTTTCTAACGTTTATCTTACACCTGTTTGAAATTTTGTTAGGGAATATGCCAATTGTTTGGGGTCTTTTTCTATTTCGTTTTTCAAGTATTTGGTCAAGAAAATACTAATTCAGGTGGAAAAGGAGTTGCCGACTCTTTCAATCGTGAGTTACTGATTCTTTTACTTTTGATCCTCCTCTTTGTTTGTAATGATACTCCCCACCAATGTCAGTATGAGTGTGTTATGACTTTTAAGGCTCAACAAAGATATATTTTGAAATGCAGCTCGTTTGAAAAGCTGCTTATCCCGGATATCACAAGAGTGTGAGCAATGGATAAAACCTCACCTTTCATCATCACCATCTTCTTCACTTGCCTTTCCCAACACAGTTAGTCTTGCGGATGTGACTCCAGCAAGTCCCTTAAATACTTCTGGTCACTTATCTGGCGTATCTTTTAGTCTCAAGGTATAACCTGGGGCTAGGTTTTCATCAATCTGAACTACAATTAATATTTTTTTCTGTCCATTAGTAACCCTAAATATAATCGAATCATTTATATTTCGCGTATTTGATATATTGTGTGAGAAAAGAAGAGCAGCTGCCTTACTTTCTTCTTATCATCTCAAAGTTGTAGAATAAAAGGATTATCATCTTTACTTGCAGGAAAGATGTGCTGCTGTGGACACAGTATCTCTTGTGGCTCGGGTATTGCATAAATCAAAGGCTCATCTCCAATCAATGTTAATGTCAAGAAATGGCTCTCTGGTTGAAGACTTCTTTGATCAACTGGTATGCACCTCTTTCAGTTCTGAGTCCTTACGAGAAAGTCTGGTTGGATGTATTGCCTTACTTGGCTGTGCTGTTGACAACATGCATACAATCTTATTATACAAAGACTTCTGTAGCATCCAATAGTCTTTTGCCTCTAAATAATAATGGATTATGCAGGACATGATCAGTACTTTCATTGTGTTCCTTTCCTAAACTAATTTCTCCTATATACAAAAGAACTATTTAAATACAATATATTTGAAGGAGTTGCATTAAAAGGAATGATTCATCAGGTTGGTTCCGTACCTGATCTGACAAAGCACTTACATAGGACAACTGCGAGGATACTGCTGCATGTTAATGGGTAAATTGCCGATCTACTTATGAGCTTGTGTTTTCGAAAGAAGTTATTAGATAAATTGCACCTCTCTCTTCCCTTGCGCCTTCGTTCTTATGCTTACTGACCTCAGGATTTTTGAAACTGTTACGTTGAATGTATATACTGTGAATTCAATTGCTACGCTAAATTTGAACCTTGGTTCTCACTGGGGGTATGCATTTTCATTCAGCTTCAACTAATTTTACAGATATGTTGACCGGATAGCTAATTCTAAATGGGAAATCAAGGAGCTTGGAATGGAGCATAATGGGTTTGTTTACCGGATGACCCTTAACTGAATCATGCAATATACTTACTGTTTTTGTTTATATATATATTGCTCGTGTTGTATAAAGCTATACTTGGCAAGCCACATTACTGAATTCAGATTTTAGATATTCAGTACTGGCATGCTGGACCATTGGTTGCATCACTGCTACCTTATATATAATAACCTCTTTGAACTAACAGGTATGTTGATCTGATGCTCGGGGAATTCAAACACTACAAAACAAGGCTTGCTCATGGAGGCATTCCACAGGAGGTAAATTTCTCTAAGACCTCATCATTTCCAGAAGTTGACAATATTGCCAGAAAACATCAATGCTTGCATCTTTGGATTGGGACATCAGTGGTGACTGATTTTCTGAGCCCTCTATTAGTAGTTGGCACCTGTTGTTAGTTTTCTATGTTTTTGTGTGTCACAATCAAACTGAACATAATTCTGCTGCATAAACAGTCAACTGACAAACGGCATGCAACTTAATTTGATTAAGATATCAGATTGAGAATGTTTTCTTATCATACTATATGGAAATCTCAAATCTGTATCCACTTTAAACTTTTTTTCATATATAGGTCCAAAACCGCCTACTGGAATATGGAATTGAAATATTTGCGGAGATACTTGTTGAAGGCTTATCTCGAATAAAAAGATGTACTGATGAAGGACGTGTTCTCATGTCATTAGATCTTCAGGTACTTTTCCCAATCTTTTCCAGTGTTCTTCTCTTCTACGCGAGATCAGGAATTGTATACATGAGTAATAAATTTTTCAATCAACATTGAAAGACATTCCAATACTAATATAGAAACTTCAAATAAACAACACAGCTGCAATTGATATATTGAATCACATGAGTCAATTTTGACCCACATTATCTATCTTCTTGTAGGTTCTAATAAACGGGCTACAGCACTTTGTGCAAACAGATGTGAAGGAAATGTTAAAGATAGTCGTAACATTTATCAAGGTAAGCAAAACAGAAACTCATATGTAAGCGCAGACTCAAAAACAGAAACATTTGTTACGGCTTAAACCAAAATCATCACTCCTCTTTGCAGGCGTACTATCTGCCAGAGACGGAATTTGTTCACTGGGCAAGGGCTCATCCGGTAAACAAACAATTCTTTTTCTCTCTGGCTTGCGTAAACCAAACCTATATTTTACTTCTAGAAGAGTTGAGAAAAATGTATAAACATGGGTTGTAAATATGCAGGGATATACAAAAGCACAGGTCCTTGGACTGGTGAATTTAGTAGCCACCATGAAAGGTTGGAAAAGGAAAACGCGGCTGGAAGTTATCGAGAAGATCGAATCAGCTTCACTGTAGATCAACTAGAAGCATCTGGCAGCTTCAGCAACATCAAGTAATACTATGGTTTTGTTCTGTCTGTTCTTTCTTTTGCATTTTGTATCGAGTGGTGTAAATTTGAGGATAGGCCCCTTCTTCGTAGTTACTTGTCATTGCATATGGGTTTGTTTAAAAGATCCTCCTGAAGTTGTATATTCTTCAAGATTGTAACACAATTTTTCCTCCATTTAGTTACTTAATTAATATCTTAAATATATGTTTTATATTAGATTCTTACTTGGATTTCCCAAATTAATTGAACTAGCTCGGCTTTAATTTTTGTTGCATCCTTGTCATAGATGGAGGATTTCTTTTATCTTAAAATCTCATAATAGAAGAATATATGAAATATTTATTAACTTTTTTTTCATATAGGAAAAATAAATAAAAACAAAGCATGTGTAGGTAGTTTCACTGTTGACTTGTTTTATTAATTTTTAACGTTTTGAGTTATAAAATCAATCAGAGATGTGAAAGGAGTCATATTGTGATGTGAAAGTTTGGAAGAAAGAATGGGCCAAAGACTCAAAGTTGTGGTGACTTCGTTATCTCTCCAACCATTTTTAATGCAACACATGGCTCATCTACTGGTACCTGTTTTTCCAAACATCAAAAATAAATAAACATTCAACATAAGTAATAGTTGTCCAAATTATTTTACCATATTTTCCATCTAAATCATACACACACTCTCTGATTTTTCTTTTATTATGTTGCGTGTAAAGGAAAAGAGAATCCAATATTTAACTATTGAATATTGATGTAAAAAGGAAAAAATCATAAAGATTCAGTCAGTGTTAAAGTATAAAAGAGACAGTCGACAATTTGTTTTGATATAAAGAAGTATGCAGAAAAAAAAGCATGAAACAGACACAAAAGAGACTTGTGCTTTCGTTTAATAGATTCATCACGTATCTCTCACGTTATTCAATAAATATCGATGCAAAATTTCACTGTATATGCAATATTTGTGATGGCTGTGCAAGAAATATTTATGACATATGTGAAAATAATTTATTTATATAAAATATGAATGAAGAGAAGTTACTAAAGGATAAAAAGTGAGAGTGTATGTACTTACAAAATGACCAGCACCAAGAATCCAATAAAAATGGAGATTTTTGTATGATTTGGTAAAGCCTCTTGTTGTTCTGTCACTTTCGCAGAATAATGGTTTCCTTTCCATTTTCTTGAATTCTTCTAGCCCCTCCCACCTTACACATCATCATCATCATTATCATGTAATGACAAATTTATATACCAACAACCTACTTTTTGATAATTAATATCAACAACATTTGTTGAGTTATTCAATATTATTCCCTATTTATTACAATATTGTGCCTTTTTTTAAAACATCGACAAAGTCCGATCCATAGTCAATCCCTACTACGCGGGGTAACGCGACTTAGTGAAGTCGAACTCCGGTGGGGAAGGTCGAGTCAAACAGATTTAATCACTTGACTAAATACACATCCCCTAATAGTGTGCCTATATTCAGTAAATTTTTGGATTCTATATTCATAATGAGGATACACTATATTCTTAATTATAGAATGATGATGCAATGTAACTAAAATTAGAAAAAGTAGATTGGTCTTACTTGAGTTTGTGAACCCATGCTTCAGTTCCACTTGTTGAACAGATAACATCAAGCTGTGCATAAACCACATGTCAATTTATCTCATTCTTTAAATTAATATTTCCATTATCAATTTTCTTGCAATGCAAATGATTTCTCATCTTTCATATCAACTAAATATAATATATTTTTTTATAGATGATGATGATGGTCTTACTTGTCCATTATAGATGGTCACATCTATCCCCTTGGCAAGAAGCTCATCGACCTGCCAAAAACAAAAAAAATCAAAATATTTTATTTATTATTAAAATATCTAACCTTCAGATAATTTAAACTTTTTTTTATAATTAACTAATTTTATAGTTTACATAAAAAAAAAAAAGTATTACGTCTTCAACGACGGGTTTCATAAAAGCAGCCTCCATCGCTCCAAACACGTCATTCGAATTTATCCCCCATCTGTTAATTTTTACAAAACCAAATATAACACATTTAACAACTAAAATTGATTTAACTATAAATGATTAAGTTTTTATTTTAAAAAAGTAACTTACATGAGGTCGTTGGGAATAATCTTGAGCTTCTTCTTAATAACACCATTCATTAACTTATCAAGGTCTCCTTCAGCATCCTCTACGTCACTTGAACTTCTCAAATCATTTAAATATCTTGAATACTTTTTTATTTTCTCTTCTCTTTTGATTTTTAAACTAGTAGTAAGCGAGACAGGGTCCATTTCAGTATCCAGTAGAAAATTATAAAAATCCTACATTAAACCAACATGTAAATTATTCACTTTATCATCAAATCATTATAATTGTTCATAGTAATGAATAAAATATAAAAAGAGAAATAATTTACGACTGAATTGGATTTGGAACTAATCAAGGTTTCGAGGTCCATCCATGTTTGCGTGGCTTCAACGTATTCACCATTCTTAATTTGTGTTTTAATCTTCTCGGCTAAGCTGCTCCAAAAAAGGTGTAATAAATAGATTAGAGAGGTAAATTAATTATGTATTAATTAGAAAATTTGATTTTGTATTTAGAAAGACCTTGTAGAGAGATCCAAGCCATTGTCATCAAGCCTAGAGACATACTTGAGAAGAGGTCCCCATGAAAACTGTAACAATTAATTAATCAAAATCATATGAATATCATTTTATCATAAATAAATGAGATTACTCTTAGTAACAAGTGAAAAGAAATGATGAAAAAACTCACCACAAAATCTTCAGGGGATATCCAACTATCTCCCAAAATCACTCCTATTCACACATAAAAAATGGAATTATGTGTCTACATTATTAGTTTCATTTTATTCAAATAAAAAAAGAAAAAAAGAATATCCCTTTACCTCCTAGATGAACTTTCAATTTGCCAGATTTAACCGCGTCGAAAACCGATAAACCGAGCTTAACCGCGATTTTGCCACCATAAGATTCAGCAACAATGAACAGAGGGCTTTGGTTTAAAGTCTGGTTTTTGTTGAAGAGTTGTTGCAACAGTTTGGTCAAATCTTTTGCTGCTTCTTCATCACTTTTCACATACAAATCCTTTTGATTCCCCTCCACGAAACTATAACCTGCCCCAACTGGACTATCCTTTTATTTAAAAATAAAATAAAAATTAAATTCATTATAAACGAGTCTTAAAGATTCATCAAAATAAAAAACTACGCAACCGTAATTAATTATACATATATATTTTTCTAATTATCAAAGAATAATAATAATATTGATGGTAATGAAATATAAAAATGAATACCACAAACAAGAGATCGGCCTTCTTCAACCAAGTTGAGTTTCTGGGCTTGAGAAATGTGTCTAATGGTCCAACCTCCTGAAAATTCCCTATTCCAACCCCTGAAGCTCCCTGTTCTCACCAAAACCAAATAATTGAAAACATCAATGATCAATAAACAACAAATGTATAAAAGACAAATAAAAGAAGATAAAAACTTACAGGTCCACCTTGAATCCACAGGATGATAGGCCATGGCTTAGAAGGATCTTCAACTCTATATGGACTTTTATAATGCCACCAAAACATGTGTGCTTCTATATTTTTTCGATTTTGATTTAGAAAAAAGAGTCAAAACAAAACCCATTTAGTCATATCTAACATAAACCAATTGATTTCTTGAAAATTTTGGTAGAAGAGTTAGAGGTAAAGAACGTACTTGGTCTAACTTCGACGTATCCCCAAGCTTCGGATCCATTGGAGTTACTTCTTCTTACAGGTTTGGTTTGTCCATTGGTACATGACACAATGAGGCATAGAATCACAAGATGAACAACGGATTTCTTCATTCAGACGACTCTTTTTGGATCAATTTACCTATCTTGTGATTGTGGGAGAGGGAGAGAGAGAAAAAGATTGAGAGAGATAAAGATCACTAGGAGGTAATATATTTTGGTGTGTCAAGTCATTAAGTCAATGCTATTGGTTCAACCTTATTTGGTATATATATACCAAATAATGAAAAATACTAGTAAATATAGAATGTCAGAAAAATTCTTACTGTAAAAATTATTAACCAAAGAATGAAAGAAATATTTTATTCCATAAGATAAGATTAACATTTTATTTCTGTTGTGTGTATAGTTTGCTTATTTTTAAATTTTAGATTATGACTAAAAGGATTTTCTTTTTTCATTTTTAAAAACTTCTATTGTATTATAATAAATTGATAAGAAAATATGATTACAAAACATGTTAAGTAAACAATTATAATTATATCAAAAATTATTTTGACTAACATTTAAGTAATATATTATTACCAAATATTTGTGAGAAAAGAATCGAAATTGTTATACATTTTCAATGTGAATATGTTTATCTTCACATTAAAACAAAAAAAAAAGGGGGATTAGCAAAAATACCCCTTTTCTCATGCCCCTTTTCAAAAATGCCCCATTTAGATGTCCATTTTCAAAAATGCCCCCTTTTTAAATCTGAAATTTTTATAAAGTTTTATTAGGTTTATAAGGTACTTATGGATTGTAACTACTACTTGAAGACTCGATCCAAGTATTTATAAGGTTTTATAAGGTGTTTTTAAAGGTTTTACAAGTTATTTTAAAGGATTTTTAAGGTTTTTCAAAGGTTTTACAAGATATTTTAAAGGTTTTTAAAGGTATTTAAAATGCATTTATATGGTATTTATAAAGTATTTATAAGATTTTAGATACATAGAAATGTAGTTTGTGTATGTTTTAATAATATTACATACATATTTGGGTAAATCTTATATTTTTAAGAGCATTTTTTATAAGGTTTTTAAAAAAGGGTATTTTTGAAAAGTGGCATTGAAAAAGTGGCATTATTAACAATTTCCCAAAAAAAAATGTGAATATGTTTATTAAAAATTATTTTTGCTTTTTTAGCATAATAACAAGACGACGTTTGATCCATGTTGTGTAAAATATATAATGATACATTGATATCATAGTTCAATATATATTTTTGTATATTAATTATATTTATCTTCACCATTTTAGTATAGTCACCTCAATGTAAATAAAAATGAACATGTAATCACACAATATTACTGTATTACAGTTCAGTTTTATTTATAACGGGAAAATTCCATATAAACACTTTAATATGGTTCTTACTTCCAAGTGTTGTGTTTAGATTTGAGCGAAAGCGAAGAACACCAAGTAAATTATGCGGTTCTTTATTGTTTTTAGCGAGTGTTGTTTTAGATTATTGCTTTTCCTAGATGAAATTAGATTTTTTCTTTTTTTCTTTTTTTAGTATCAATGTTAAGTATTTATACCGTTTTCAAGTTTGAGACAGAAAATACCGAAGAAACAATGAAAGCAGAAAGACCAAAAGCTACGACTAAAAGAACTACGAATAGAAGAGAAAACACGATAAGAGAACAAAGCGAGACAAACGACAGAGGCCTGAAGAGGAAACACCGATTCCGAACCGCAAAGCTCGAACATTTGCGTGATTGCTTCAACTCCAAAAAACTCGAAACCTCATCGACGTTGCCACGAGCAAACCTTTCTTCTAGTGACACGTCCTCAAAACCTCCAAGAAAAGACCGCCTAGAACTTCTCCGAAGACTAATGCAAAAATGAAATTGCTAGAGAGGCTTAACCGCACCCGGCGGCACGAGAGCATCTACGGATAGCCTCTGACCACCATTTCCCGAGCAAGAAGCTAGATGAACCATCTCCCACGGGATTGAAATTAGATTTGGTTAGCCTCTTTTGTTTATGAAGTGTAGATTAATCGCTACTTATAGTGTTTTGTTAATACCGGATTTGGATATCGGGCCTGCATGCGTTTATGTTATGGGTGGATAGTTTTCTACTTGTTGAACTATTTTCCAAGCGGTAAAAACCTCAGATCACCTTTTGGTTATCAAAAAACAATCTCTTTGGTTTGTTCCTTCGATGATGCGGGCACGAATGCAACTGTTTTTACCTATGACATCAAAAAAGTGGTTTCGACATTGATTACGAATAGATTCATGCGTAAGTTTGTTATCCTTTATACTCCCTCCGTATTTTAATAAGTGTCGTTTTAGGATTTTCTTTTTTAAAAAATTAGATGTCGTTTTCAAATTTCAATGCAAAATTTCTTACTTTTTAATGTTTTATGATGTCATAAAACATTAAAAAGTAAGAAATTTTGCATAGAAATTTGAAAACGACATCCAATTCAGAAAAATAAAAATCCTAAAACGACAATTATTAAAATACGGAGGGAGTAATAAATACCGTAACTGAATTATACTCCCAAATAGAAGATTTGATAAAGCAATTTGATATTTAGCCATTCGGGGAATTGACGTAAGGTCGATGCAACAACTACTACTGCACATGTTGGTTATCAGTATTGCGTCACTTTCTTGAGCTAAAAAACAGATAAGAGAAAAATAAATTTTCAAAAAAGTACATCTGAATATTCAGGCAATTTAATATCTTAACTCATACGTACATGGCCTAACTTAGCTTTCATGTCAGAGGATATATATATTTATAAAAAAATTCAATTCGAAGATAAATATATTCACACAAAACATTCCGATTCTTAATTCTGTTGTTAATAAAAATAACCACTCAACTATCATCATATATAATGAATTAACATACAAATTTTTTTATTTAACAAGCAAAAAGAAAAAAATAATGAAAGTGACCAAAAAAATGTTAGAAAGAAGTATTGACACCGAAAGAAGTTTTTACATGGTTTTTTTTTTTTTAGTTTTCTATAAATATTGACATCTTATGTAGATTTACACTTTACTTCTCTGATTGTATTTTGTTCTATACATTTTTAACATTGTTTGAAATTCTATTAGAGAATAATAACACACAGAAAAAATATGCTGAAAAGTTCTTCAGTAATTTTTATTAAATTTGTTTTTCTTCATGTACCCTTTTTTAGTTATTTTTTTTCTTTTCTTAAGAAAACACTTAATAGTTACATGCATGACTTAACGACTTCAGTCAATCTTAGAACAAATCGTTAATCCGATCAATGCAACGACTTGTTCAGAATTTAACAAAAGGCTCTAACTGGTAACCATTAAAAAAATAAATTAGGGAAGAATCAGAGTTTTTATAGTACACCTTAGTTTACCATCCTACACCGATTAGGCCAAATAATGGTTCATGGCATATTAACAAATGTGAAAAGTAAAAAAATAACAAAAATAAAACAAAAATTTATCTTTGAGAGGCAAGAATTTAAATTAGCCTAAATCATTTAGCAGATGCAAAATCACATAAACTCAAGCTTTTAGATTGATTGTTAGTGGTAATAAGAGACATGGATAGGTCAAGAAGAAGAAATATATGACAAATCCGATCTCCATCTATGTTGTTTTCATATATATAATTTTTTCTATTTTTGAATCAATATTAAAATAAAAAAGAACTAACGAATTTGGAACATGATACTAATGTATATATAATTTTATTATGCAAATTTGAAATTTAAAAGTAAATGTTACCGATTATAAACTTTACAAAACCATATAATAAAATTATTAATGAAATATTACTTAAAAGTCCCGAGAAACACGACAAATAAACATCAACAACAGATAATCCATACAGCTGCATTATTGCATCCCCAACATGGATTGAAACTCATTTAGTGTTGTGTTCACTTTCTCTGCTATCACTTGATCATACCTCGATAAGTCTCGTGTGTTCAACATGGATTGAGACTTTTATCAAGCAGTACTTGTTTGCTTCCTCTTAGTTTCTTGTTCGATAAACGTAACTTATAACCTCCATGTTACTAATCTTCTCCGCAACACTTTCAATTTCGTCTCCTTAATTTCTAGCTCTTATGCGATGTCTTTTTCATCTCTTCAAGTTTTGAATTTTAAAAAACAAGTACATATTCTTTTCAATATATATAGGATGCATCATCAATGTTGACTTTTATCTATCTTATCATGTTAACTTTTGACTACATAATTTAGCATTTCTAATATTTTTGATTTTTTCAAAAACTTAAATCTACTTTCAAGTTTTCTATTCCACGTCAAAGAAATTAGTAAATCTAAGACCAATTTGTGCTCATTCCTTCGTCGTAATGTCCTTGCTCTGCTTTCATTTTTGTTGTTGTTAATTTCTTGTTTTGTAGTTTTCTGTTTTTCTCCTTTCTTTTTATTCCATATAATTTCTGTCAAAAATGATACAAAATTTAATTTTTAATTAAAAAAATAGTCTTTAATACACATATTTTACATGTTGGAAAATTATTGGAGTTGACTAATTTCTTCTATTGTTGAGATGAGTCTAAAATAAAATAAAAAGTAATTTCTTCAATTGTTGGAAAATTACCGCTTGACTTCATGTTTGCACTTCTACCAAAACTACAATTCGTTGTTTGCTTTTGTATTAATCCTATGAATAAAATATCATGGCGGAATGGGGACTCTTCATAGAATGCCAAGGAGAATGACATATCATTCTCTATTATTTCCACATAACTATTTAGTGAATAATTAAATAAAAGTTAAAATATATTTTGTTGGCAAAGTTGTTCTAGCATGTGACTTTAATTTTCCTTTCAATTTTTTGTTTGTTAATGCATCACATTAATTACTGTAAGCTTGGTCAAAAATAATGTAAATTTTGAAAAAAAAAAAAAAAAAAATACAAGACTTACAAAATTACATATTCATGGAACAATAACTAATTTGATGAAATTTCATATGCACTATAATTTTGAGAGAAAATTTTCTCCAAATTCCATAAATCAAATAATACTTATGTGTATCGATTTAAAAATAAATATTTCAAAATAAAATATTACTAATAAATAATTCACGTTTATATCTATAAATTAAATTATCATGTTTGGGCACTATATAGAACTCAAACAAAAACATTGTTTCTGAACAAAATTATAAGGATACGAATACGAAGTAAATAAACACAAGGAGATGATGCCATGGACGACTGAACTTATCACCTTAATATCAGTAGTTCATGGTTTTACCACCAGCCTATTGAACTTTTCAACAGAAAATTGGCCGTTAAAACATATATACATATATTATAACATACGCTACAAGCCCAAACTTCTTTTGCTTGGACTTAGTGCCAGCTCTACTATTTCATTTAGCGTTTATAGAAACCCAAATTTAGATGTAAGAAAACAGCAAAACCAATATACAATAAATCAATCTATAAACTATGCTCTATACTATAGTAAGTGCAAAAAATATGCAAAACTCAGCATCTATGCAATAATCAATAAAGTCTTACCATAAAAGCATACCAAACTGAGGGCAATAAAGGTTCGAAACCGGGTCTATTAGAATGCCCAATAACAAAATCCACTAGGAAAATATCAACTCAAAAGATTAAGAAGATATGGGCTCCAAACTCGATCACTGACACTGGTCTCAAAACGGCACGCCCAACCACAAAGGCTAGCACCCTCCCTAAAAACTAGCTAGCGGGCATTTTCCCCATGTCACTTACCACTACACGAGTAAGTGCAAAAAATATGCAAAACTCAGCATCTATGTAGTGTGTTTATTAATGTTAAAACTAGTTGTACATGAAATTTAGTTTACGTGTTGTAATTTTTTTTTGTTTGAAACATTATCAATTGAATATATTTTAATTTAGTTCTATCATATTACAAATGATCAACCTTCTCGAGTACCAAATCATTCATGTGGTTTTTCATGGTGAGCAATTTCATGAAGAATTTTACAATTGACAGTTCTACCTGCATTACAAGGATCTACATTAGATGGTTCTCTCTGCATCATGATGGACAGCCAGGTCCGGCTTTATGCATGTGTTGGAGATGCTTATACACAAAGTTCATCTAAATTTATTTATTTTTATAACTAAATTTATCAAAATTAGGGTCCAAATTTTTTTTATATACAAATAGACATAGGAAATAAGGGCCAATTATTTTTTCCATCTCAGGGTCCTTAATTTTTTTGAGCCGGCTTTATGGACAGCTTTACCCTTTGCCAGACCGGACCACGATTAACGGCTCTATCTACACCACGTTTGACATCTCTTATTGACTTGTTCCATTTATCTGCAATAATCCGCGATCTTTGGGAATCGAGGCCCAAACCCGGTGTAGAAGCATTAATTAATTTTTGGTCAATGAAGGGAGCTTCCACTACATATTTGTATTAGCTAAATAAACCTTTTTAATTGCATGTAAATATGTTGTTTTGTAATTGCATTGCTAGTTAGACATCTTAAATATATCATTATCTTCTACTTTCCTAAAAGCATGCCCACACAGCTGTGGTCTAGTGGTGGTTGAGAATTGGAGAAATGTTGGAAGAAAGTAACCCATGTTCGATCCACACTGACAACAAAAAACACATTTGTGTGAGAAATCTCCGCTGTGCCAAAAAGTCCAAGCAGTTTACATAGTAGTCGGAATGCTATTCCTATGCATTAGTCGGAAAGCATTCCAAACTCGAGATAGACATTGTGGTGGCCCTTCGGGGAGAAATCCACTCTGAAACACTTCAGTACGTTTCTACCGGGGTTGACCGGATCAGCCGATAGAGTTTAGGGAGACTCACAAAAATGCCCCTTTTTCAATACCCCTTTTCAAAAATGCCCCTTTTTCAATACCCCTTTTCAAAAATGCCCCCTTTGGCTGTCCATTTTTAAAAATACCCCTTTTTATGTACAAAATGACTAAATTACCCTTCTTTTAATAAAATATATCACAAATATATAAGGAAATATAACAAAATTAGGTCCACAAAATACAAAATATTTTTTGGCGGGAAAAGTGATCCCGCAATTTTTCCCGCCAAAACACTTGTAAAAACCTTTAAAATACCTTGTAAAATTTTCCCGTAAAATTTTTTCCCGCCAAAAATTTTTTTTTGCGGGAAAAGTGATTCCGCAATTTTTTTGGCGGGAAAATTTTTGGCGGGAAAAATTTGCAAGGTATTTTAAAGGTTTTTTACAGGGTATTTATAAGGTTTTACAATGTATTTTAAAAGGTTTTACAATGTATTTATAAGGTATTTATAAGATATTATAAGATTTTACAAGCAATTTTATAAGGTTTTACAAGTTATAAGGTTTTACAAGTTTTTTATAAGGTTTTACAAGTTATAAATACCTTATAAAACCTTATAAGTACCTTGTAAAACCTTTTAAAATACATTGTAAAACCTTACAAAACACTTGTAAATACTCTGTAAAACCTTTAAAAAACCTTGTAAATTTTTCCCGCCAAAAATTTTCCCGCCAAAAAAATTTCGCCAAAAAAATTGCGGAATCACTTTTCCCGCAAAAAAAAATTTTTGGCGGGAAAAATTTTTACGGGAAAATTTTACAAGGTATTTTAAAGGTTTTTTACAAGAGTTTTGGCGGGAAAATTGCGGGATCACTTTTCCCGCCAAAAAATATTTTGTATTTTGTGGACCTAATTTTGTTTCAAATAAGGGTAAAATGGTCATTAAAAAATAAAAGAGGGCAAACTTAAAAATGCACTCTCAAATGGGGCATTTTTGAAAAGGGGTATTGAAAAAGGGGCATTTTTAACAATTTCTCTAGAGTTTATTAAAAAAAAAATTGAATTCTCATTTATTTGACATATTTTGATAATTTATGTGTGTTTCTTTTGGATGTACACGTTTCGGTAGTCCGAGGAGTATAATCTATTAATCAAATCATTAATGTATTTAGATATATTTTTAAAGTATATATATTTTTGTATCTAATGTTATTAATATATATATATCTTTGTCAAAATTAGGGTATTATCATAATAACAATTTGGTTATTTTAAAAGTCCAAGTTGGAACATATTTTGATCTATGTCTATACTATACACACTTAAATCACAAATGTTATTTAAATATATATTTCAAAAAGTATTTTTTTTTAATTCAATGATATTAATATTATATATATGTCAATATTAGAGTATTATCATTATAATATTTTGGTTATTTTTAAAGTCCAAGTTGCAACAAATTTTGATCTATGTTACACACTTAATTAGCTTGTAATTTTGTCATCAGACTCATTACCCAATGGCCCAATCCAACGGTTTGGAATCAACCTTAACTAAACATCATATCTAATTATATATCCTTTCCATTCTCTCCCCAATAAACTATTAACAATAAATATTTAATAATAATTAAGAGAAGAAAAGATATCTACCAATCCTAAATAAGAAGAAAAAACATAAAATCTTCATTTATCAACAATAACATAAAATTTATATCTTCCTTTCTCTCTTACCCTTAAAATCTGATTTTTTTTCCTGCTCTCGTCTCAAGAATCAATTATCTAATACCCTTTCTCTCGCCCTCTCTCTCTACTGATCATCTTCACAGAGGTAATGCAAATGGCAAAAGCATGTTCTTCGTAATCTAATCTATTACATTACTCATAAGGTTTTGTCTCGATCAATATAATTCCCTTTTTGTATATTGTAATTATTGTTTAAGAAAAACAAAACAGGAGAGAGATCAATGGAGGAGCCAAAATGGCTGGAAGGTCTCTTGAGAACAAACTTCTTCAGCATTTGCCCTCAACACCGTGAGACACCGCGAAATGAGTGCAACATGTTCTGTCTCTCCTGTCAAAACGCTGCGTTTTGCTTCTACTGCCGCTCCTCCTTTCACATTGACCATCCCGTTCTTCAGGTCCATTTTCTCAACACACATTGCATATACATATATCAATTTGACTCACTCCAGTTCTCTATCATTGACATTGGGACAGATAAGAAGATCTTCATATCATGATGTGGTTAGAGTATCGGAGATAGAGAAGGCATTGGACATAAGAGGAGTGCAAACTTATGTCATCAACAGCGCAAGGGTTCTCTTCTTAAATGAGAGACCTCAGCCTAAGAACTCCTCCCATGGCGCCGCCTCCTCAACCCCGAAAACCATGTCCTATTTCTGTGAGACATGTTGCAGAACCCTTCTTGATCCCTTTCGCTTCTGTTCCTTGGGTTGCAAGGTTCGTTTACCTACACTATTTCTGAATGCACAATTCTTTTTTGTAGCCGGATAAATCATGAGCCAATCATATCTATAAAAACCGGATGGATAGTAACCATTTAATGCGTCTATAGAAGCCAATGTGGAGTCAATCGATATAACAAGATCTTTACAACTGGACCAACAAAATTGGTTTATGCATATTTTCATCATTATTACAAATGCCTTCGCATTTATTTGTCCAATAGAAAATGAGGAATCGGTTTTCGGATACACCGTATAACGTTTATATTCATTTATATGGTAAATTCATTGAATCGTCTATATTCAAACTCGCATAATGCATGTTGTTTGCCTCATATATATAATGTATCTTATAAAATTGTATATAAGAGGTTAGATGTGTGTATATATGTTACATTTACATAAGGGAAATGTATGATGTGATCATAATAAAAATGTCAGGTTGAAGGAATGAGGAAGAATAAGGAAGAGGAAGAAGAAAGATTGCGTAAAGAAAGACAACAAGAAACGCACAAAGGCACGCATCCTCCAACGCATACCTCTAATTCTAGGCGACGAAAAGGCATTCCTCATAGAGCTCCTTTGGCCTCCTAATTTAATCAATCTTTTTCAAGAAATAAAAAAATAAAACTTTTCTTTAACTTATTTTATCTTTTTAAAATCTCATTTAATGGTCCACCCAAATTAGCATAGTATATGCGTATTGGGTGGGTGTATATTTATATATTCCCAATTTGTACAATGTCCAGCTCACTTCTCACAATCCTGTCACATGGAAAAACAACAATTTGTATAGAAGAAAATCCTAATTTCCCTACTTTTTTTTTGTAAAATATTAAATACCTTTCTAGCTAATTTTATATCATATCTATATGAGTGGGATTGTAGGATGGACTATATTTGATATACTAATTAATTTTTGTGAAATATATAAGTCTCATCTTTGAAACACATTATACAAAATCAAGAGTTAAAAAAAGACTCTTTGTGGAAGGAAGGAATAACATGAAAATAATTAGGAGTTAGACTATGAGAATGTCGGTGGAGATATATTGTATACTTTATTTTCGAGTAATGATAATCTAATAACTAATCGATGTGGTGGTTTGAAGTTACCTGTCTCTATGCTATATCCATCTAGCTACTAAATATATTAGTTTAGACTGAAATTGGGTGGGGTTTAGGGCTCAATAATTGTGTATCTAAATGGTTAAGGGACATGAATGTGTATATGTTTTGTATAGACACATGAAATGTTTCTCTACTTGTTTTCGATGATAATTTCTATGCTGCTATATACTTAAAATAGTTTGTCGTAGGCGTTAGGTATTCGAAAGGTACAGTTACTTAAAAAAGAAAGGAAACGTTCACATATTTACATAAATAATTTAAGTGGTAACATTTTACGTAAAGGATGGTCTTATTTTAGTACGTATCGACCGTAATTTCCTTCACGTTCACATATTATATTATGTCATTTTGTAAAATAACTAGGTTAAAACTTTATGAATTACGTGTTGTTGTTTTTCAAGAATAATTAGTGTGTTAATGCATTATTTAATTTTTGGCCGCAGCCGCGCTTTTTAGGGGGATTATGATTTCTTAAGTCTTACTCCCTCCGTTTCAGTTTAGTTGTCGTTTTAGGATTTAAATTTTGTTTCATAATAGTTGTCGTTTTAGGTTTTCAATGCAAATGTTTGGTAAAAATTCCAGTTTTATCCCTACTGTTTTAATGTTTTGGCCAATAAATTTTTTATAAAATATATTAATAAAGGGTAAAACAGAAAATTTAATGATTTTCTTAATTTGTGTGAAAAAACCTTAAACGACAACTAAAACGAAACGGAGGGAGTACTATTTTTAATGTTACTCCTTATGTTTCATTGTAAATATCGTTTTCAGATTTCTCTCATGAATTAAACATGTAAAATATCAATTACATTCTTATAATTTTGTTTTATTTTAGATTGTTCTATTATATTTTGACAAGTGGAACTTTTTAAAAAAAAAAAAACTACAACACTAGCACAAGCCATTATACTAGAAATCAATTTTTTGGTAAAAAAACCAAAAGAAATTATCCTAAACCAAACTTAATGGTAACTTAAAAAAAACGAAGACTTTCAACATGTATAAATTCTTAACAACTCTATATTATTATTAGTTTATTAATGATGTCCACATATATTAACATCTCATATACCTTGTAAAGTGAAGTTCAAGATTAATGGTACAAATTATTCAATTTTGGAGATTCAGATAGAAGATTATTTGTATGGGAAAAAACTTCATCAATTGTTGGGAAATAAGCATGAGACGATGAGCTAGGATGACTGGATTTTTTTGATAAACAAGTTTAAGGTGTTATTAAGTTAATACTATCAAATAAAGTCACGTACAACGCCGCGAAATGTAAATTTATAGAGAGGTTGATGAAAGTTTACTTAGATATGTATGAGAAACCTTCTGCCAACAATAAGGTATTTCTCATGAAGAAACTCTAACAATCGAAGATGGAAGGTGGTAATTCTGTTGAAGCGCACGTTAGTGAATTCAATACGATTGTCAACCAACTGTCATCGATTGAAATCGAGTTTGATGATGAGGTTTGTGCTTTGATTTTGTTGGCATCTCTGTCAAATAGTTGGGAGCCCATGCGGGCAGCGGTTAGTAATTCTGTTGGTAATCAGAAGCTTAAATTTGTTGATGTTCGAGATCGAATCCTTGGCGAGGAAGTTCAAAGAATAGATACATGAGAAGCTTCAACAAGTTCCGCTTTCAACGTAGAAAACAGAGGGAGTAATCCAAACAGAACAAACCATAATCAGGGCAGAGGAATCGAGTAATTAACGGGGTTAAATCCAAAACCAAACATCCTACATAGTGCTGGAATTGTGGCAAAAAAGCAAGATTAAGATTATCTATTGTACAACACCGAAGAAGGTAGATAACAGAGGAGCTGGAGCCAAAGAAGTCACACAAGTAATAATTGATGCATTAGTAGTGTCTGCTGATTCTCCAAGAGGAAGTCAAGTTCATGTTGCGGTTGTTGAAACCACCGGAAACATCGATCTCTTCAGCTTATAATTAGATCGATTCTTGGGGTTTAGATTCGGGAGCCTCTTTCCACACTAATGCTCACTAGAACATAATGGAGAACTATGTTGCCCGAAATTATAGGAAGATAGATCTAGAAAATGGATTACTTTTAAACATTGTTAATGTTGAAGACATTAACCTGAAGATGCCAGATGACCGTGTGTGGAAAATCACAAAGGTTAGTTATGTGCCAAAGTTGATGCGAAATCTGATTAAATAACTTGATAATACAGGATATGATACCAATGTTGGTGGTGGAGCTTGGATAGTGACAAAGGGTTCCATGGTGGGAACAAAAGGCCATAAAAGAGGCAATCTTTATATGACGACAAACTATGAAGATACAATTGTTGTTGCCGAAAATGCCAAGAAAACTGGGATGTGGTATTATAGATTGGGGCATATGAGCGAAAAATGTATGAAACTCATGATAACAAATGGTGAATTTCCAGATTTGAAGATAGTAAATCACTACATGTGTGAAAGCATAAACGGGTTAGTTTCTCGAGTGATGATAGAAAGTTGAAATTATAGTGACGTTGTGGCTTTCATTGCATCGTTGGGAGGATCACACTATTATGTGTCTTTCATTGATGACTCCACAAAGAAGGTATAGGTTTACTTCATGAAAAACAAGTATGAGGTGTTCTCGGTTTTCATGAGATGGAAAGCCATGGTAGAAAATGAGACAAATCTCAAGTTGAAGTGCCTAAAATCTAGTAATGGTGGAGAGTAGATTTACGGCAAGTTTAAAAAATATTGTGCTGATAATAGGATTAAGATGGAGAAGACTATTTTTGGAATGCCCCATCAAAATGGAATAGCGGAGATGATGAGTAGAATTCTAAATGAGCGTTAAAAAAACCTGTGAATCCATTGTAGATTACCTCAAATGTAATCAATAGTGCAACCTTCTTGATTAATATAGGACCGTATGTTCTATTAAGATTCAAGATCCTTGAAAAAGCTTGGATTCATTAGAATAGCCTTGTTTTTGTGGACTAAGATGAGAGAAAAATTGTCTTCTATTAGTGTGTGATTCATGGTCATTAATTTGTGAATTAAATCTTAAATTATTGGTAAGACTTAACTATTTGATTTTTAATATTGATCTTTGACCTTTGACTATTTGATCCATTCATGAGCCATCTGTATTTTTTTTTGGGTCTCCATGACATGATGAGTTTCCAATGAAATAAATTGGATTCATTGTACGAAATGGTACACTAACACTTAAGATCAATGAGAGAAAAATATATAATGAAATTAAATAAATATATATATATATATATATATATATATGTGTGTGTGTGTGAAAAGTGTATATATAATCATGTAATGAGGAAAAATAGAATAACAAAGATGTGAATAACTCTAATATGTTTCCTATTTTTAATTTTTCATTTCCATCCAAAACATAGACTCAATCTAATACTTAGGCATTATAACATCGATCTTTCAATCATCTTGCAGGTAACAAAAAACTTGTGATAAATTGTAAATTTGGAGATGCAGCAACCGAAGTTAAATTTCTTCCCATCAATACATATTAGAGAATCTCATTTAGATTTACCCAAAAACTTTAATATGGTGCAACTTACGGAAGGTAGTTCAATTTCCATTGATATTTTCTCATGGAAGGTCGCTCTCACTTGTCAAAATTACTCCATTCATTGGAGACAATTTAATCAACATGGGTTCGCTATGGTCTCTAAGATTTGGAAAATAAATACTATTGCTTTAATTGCCTGATAGTTAATTTGACAAATAACTTCTATTTAAAAAAATCTTTTGGTATATATTTGATAATACAAACGCGAAAGAAAGAAGAATTTAGAATTAGATTTGAGAAAAAAGAGAATTTTTTTTTTTTTTGACATTTTTGGATCGAGAAACCCCGATCTATAACCAATCCCTACTATGCGGCGTAACACGATTTAGTGGAGTCGAACTCTGGTAGGGAAGACGGAGTCAAATGAACTTAACCACTTAACTAAAGGCACGTCCCAAAGAAGAAGAAAAAAAAGAAGGTGAAATTAGTTTAGTCTTTGATATTAACTAAGCTATTTTAATACTCTTAATTTAGGCCCTGTTCGTTTTAGACGCAGCTACAGCCTACAAAAGGTAGCGACCAAAACCTACAAACGATGGAGAGGAATTCCTTTGCCACATTGATATGCAACTATTTCTAGTTTTTATTTTAGGCCATTAGAACTGCCTCTGTAAATTGTAGTGACATCCAAATTTTCTTATTTAAGTCGTCGAAGTCTCTCTTTTTCAGCTTCAGCAACATTACACAAATAAATTAGAGAGAGAGTGTATACAGTATACTATAAACAATTAAGAAGATGCGTCGTGGAAAAGAACAAGGCCTAAAATCATGTATATATATACAAGAAGAGTGACTCACCAAATTTAGGTTATTTTGTTTTGAAGTTTTTCCTTACAACTTGTTTAAGTTGGGGACTAAACAAACTGTTGTTCGTGGTTTCATCCAGTAATTTCTCATATACAAAGAAACAAGAAGTTCTATGAATATTCCATGAAAATGCAATTAATGTGGGACAAAACTAAATCATTGTTTTGGTTTCAAGTAACGTGCAACAAAATAAGGGCATTGAGAAGAAAACTTAGAAAAAAAAGATGACAAGTCAAAAAAAATATGGAGCTTAATTACATTGAAACATGTAGCTGAAAATGTCCATTTAGAGGCAAACTAGCTAGACTCTGTTATAAACTTGAAATCCTCAGCATAGTCTACAAAGGTGTAAACTCTATTAGGCTTCTCAAACGCTTCAAAACCTTGGACTCTAACTCTTTCAAGAGTACTCCTTTCGGGATTGAAGTAGAAAACAAAGAAAGCTTTAGATGTATAGTCCATGGACAAAATAATTTCATTAGTAGCAGTCACTCCAACGACGGAAACATCTCCCTTAACGACAATATTCACCGGAAAAGTGTATCGACTTTTCAACCATTTTTGATCCTGGGCATCCTCTAGAATCTGCAAACACAACCTAAGTTCACACCTAGCTTCTCCATAAACGTAACTATCCCAACGCCAACTAATTACGCCTAGTTTACCCTTGTATTTTATCAATTTAGTAGACGAAGAAGAAACTAATAACTTCCTAATAATAGAATCTGTCTTAAGAAACCTAAAATTTTCATTCCTAACATCAAAGCAAGCTAACTTCACACCTTTTGCTTGTCCAGCAATGTAATACAAAACCCCATCGATGCATACCCCTTCACCTATAGGATAATGGTTTTCCGGACAATACAGTTTTCTCCATGACATTTTCCCAGTTCCTAATGTCATAATATGTCCCTCTTCTTTAGATGCTCCATAAAGTGAATTTCTTATGTTTGATACTTTATATCTTTTACCAATAGGATCATAACCTAATAAGCTTCTTGAATCCCTTTTCCTTTTCAATTGAGGTAATCTTGCGTACTGTCCTGTGCTAGGGTTACATATCACCGGCACTTCACTTCTCCGCATGTTAGGGAAATAGAACAAGCCAGAGACAGGACCACAAATCTCTGATCCCATGTCTCCAGGTAACTGCATATGCAAGTCGGCTGATACTACAAGAGAATGGTTCTCATCAGGATTATGGAGCTGAGGCGACGAGTAGAAGAGCCAGTAACCGGAGTTTTTGATGGCGAATAAGAGACGTGGCTGAGAAGTTAAGGATCTGGTCAGGAACAACTCGGTGAAATCTTGAGAGTTAAGTATTGATGCACAGAACTTGGATGCGAGACCAAACGTAGCGATTTCTTTAGTAGAGGATCTCGAAAGTATGTCGAGAATGATGTCAATCGGGATGGGATCTGAGTTTCCTTCTCTTTCCATCGAAGGTCGTTCGTGTGTTTTGGTTCCGGACTTAATTAACGTAGGCTCTAATTTAGGGTTTATATAAAGGTCCAATATGTAAAATAAATAGGGATTTCACAAATGTTAAAACTCGATTCAGAAAATAAATAAGGAAATGTTTTGTTTTTGGGATAAAATTAAGTTTCCTATTACGTAAAACGAAACGTTTGTGTGTATACAACAATTAGCTAGGCTTAGCTTAGGAGTTTTTAGGCCCAAAACAAGACAACTAAATAGAACATGATTTAAGTCAAGAGCTTAGGGATATGCAGGCCTGGCCCAAAGGGGTAGAGCAGAGGGGCATAGGCCTAAGATTGAATCACAAAAAAATATCATTAGTATAAGGGCCAGTTAAAAAAAGAATTTAACAAAGAAAAATGCCCAAATTTTCAATGTTGTTACTTTTTAGATTCATTTTGCCAATCTTAGAAAGGTTTAAAATGAAACCCAAATATTTTAAACTTTTTAAAAAAAATCATCTCAAAATTTACAATTTTTATAAATTTATTTAATACACCTTTAAAAACATGTTTAAATATTTTAAAATTTTAATTTCTTTTTAGTTAAAAGGATCCAAAATCTTGACAAGAGGATAGATAGTTTTTTGCACTTGGGTTTTGAGAAAATTAAAATAAGTAACTTTCACTGGTTTAGTCTAAAAACAGTATTGTAAAGTTAAAAGTAAAGTAAAAGCAAAATTTACAAATATAAGTTTTTTTCTTTGTTGAACCTCAACATATGTTAACAAATTTTAAATTTACTTTTCTCTATGACTCGTATTCACTGTACTAAATTTGGAACAACTCCTTTATATATGGGTGTGTCTCACATTTACCCAAATCTTTCTGTTTCATGCAATTTGACATCCAGTTTTTGTAAATTTAAAATTTATATACCACTTTGTCTTTGTAAAAAAACACATCTAGAATTTTTGACTTCATCTCCGGCACCTCCAAAGGAGTAAGCTTGAAAAACATAGTATCCCACTTGTCTTAAATCTTCAAGAACACATGTATAGTCACCATCGCTAGCCATGACTAAGAAATAAGCTGGGGATTCCCTCTCAAGAGCATAGGCCACAATATCTCCAACAAGTGCAATATCGGCGTCGTCTCTCTCTTTAGAAACCAGTCTTCAAGCTTCTCCAACTAGGATAAAGTCTTAACGGGCGAAACCTGCACAAAAAGGACTACTCAATAAATAAACTCACGACGATTTATCAAATATATTTTTATAAAATTTCATAAAACCTCTACCTTGTCATAAGCTGCTACAAAATCCGTAAAAATTATCAATAGTTTTTATGTATTCTAGATTCATAACTGTTCCAAACACTTAATAAAATTTTAGCGTCTCAATACATTACCACTAAGGTGCGAATAATCAAGACCCCTTTGATGGGTATTGCAATGGCTCTGTTTGCTTTCGAGAGGGTCTGTTGAACTGCTAATAATCAGAACAATTTTTTTTATCGTGATTTTGAGTTTGAACAAACAATTCAAGATTTTTTAAAATTCATTTGTCTATCTAAACATTGACAAGGTTTCTCTTTTCTTTCAGTGTATGAACTTACCAGATTACTCAACAGCCAATATTCTTGTTTTATGGGATTACGAGAATTGTGTTATCCCAAGTAGATGATGCGGAAGATGTGGCTAATGGCATCAAATTTTCTTAGAAATAACAACTATAACAGGGAAATTCATGTAGTTGGTTATGGCTCTAAACGCTAGCTCATAAATAAGTTGTCTGACTTTGAAAATCAAAATATTATGATTAGTAACGTACCAACTCCTCCAAGGGTAAAAGAATTCCCAAACAAGAAAATCATAGCTGCTTTGTTGAAATGAGCTTTTGAACAAGTTGTTCATTTTCAAGAGCCTCGGGTGGTGATGCTTATAAGCGGGGATGGTGATTTTAGATTTACGATCGAAGATTTGACAGTAAAGAGAGTTAAATTATTATTAGCATAGAAAAAGGCCACTAGTCAATTAATTTTAGGCCACTCATTTAGTTTTTATCTCTCTCTTGGGTTTTTTCTCGCTTTTGTTGTGCTTTTTTCTCTTTTCAAGAACAACATTTAAATCAATTAAACTTTCATACAATGTCTACACACAAAATCAAAATAAAATTAGCTCACTCTTCTTCATTCTACGTACCGAAAATCCAATGGCCCAGCTTTTGAATCAGCAGGCAACCAAACAACCAAGTTACCAAGTACCAAGTGTTATATGCTTATATCAGTATATAGTTATATATAATTAGTACTAAAACATACAAAAGACTTTTATCAAAAGAAAAAAAAACAAACAAAAAAGAGTTTAATTATACCTCAAGATCCTTCTTGAAGAAGGCATAAGTTAAACGTCCCCATTCATTTTTAGATCAACATCATGACAGATTTGAATATCCTTATCCGCCAATAGCATATTTAACATGAGATCAAATAACATGGAAGTGAAAAAAAGTTTTTACCAAGTTTACTGTCACGTGTAAATACTATCTCTACACAATTTGATCATTAACATTAATTCATTTACGTCGTTTTCTCAAAACATGGTACACATATACACTTTATTCATATAGTTAAAATAATATTTAAATACTAACATGTGTACGTGTACGTTAATGTGATAAGTCTTTTTACATTGTCAAGTAATAAAAGTTGATAAATGAGAATTTCATTTTGTTTCTTGATAGACTTCACTAATGGAGACCAAGCACCTCCGCAAGCTTCTCCAGCTCTACCAAGCTTGTAGTGGCGAACAAGAGCTCATAACAAACGTCCAAAACGCCACATCATTACCACCGCCACCGCCAGAACCACCTTCGGCATTAGACTCCTCCATGGCTCTAACCATCTTTGTCCTCTTGGTTGCTCTCTTCTTCATGGGTTTCTTCTCCGTTTACATTAGCCACTTCGTAAATGATTCAACGGTTGAGATTTCTTCCATACCAAGAACAAGATCCTCTAGGATGTCTCCACGTCGCCTTTCCACCTCCGTCGTTGTCTCACGGCCGTATAGTTACCGGAGGGGACTTGATTCTCAGGTAAATCCATTAATCTAATTATTATACATCTCTCTCCGTTCTAACGTTAACCAGCAAGATTGGGGCATTTCAGACCGTTCGATCTCTGCCAGTGTACCATTACACGAAAGCCACGAAGCAGCGGAACGAAGATTGCGTTATCTGCTTGAGTGACTTCGAAGAAGGTGAAACAGTTAAAGTGATACCACACTGTGGTCACGTGTTCCATGTGGATTGCGTTGACACGTGGCTGAGCTCATACGTAACATGTCCCTTGTGCCGGAGCAACCAGCTGTTCTCGGATAAGGACTTGGGCATGCAAGAACCGCCTGATCAGGGCTCGCCAGAAGAACATGACACGTGTGATGGTGTGGACCCTTTTGTCAGAAGGTGTAGTAGCTGTTCGAGTTTGGGGCAGAGGACTGGATTGGAACGGTCGTTGAGTCTCTGACACGTTTTTTTTTTTTTTTCTTACTCTTGATTTTGTGTTTGTATTGTAATAAGGAAAGGGTATGAAATAAGGAATTTGTAAAATGACATTGAGTAGTAGAATTTGGTAGTGTTGATTTCGGAGAGAAATTTGGTACTAATTTTTGATTTGTTTGTGTTTAGTACTTTTGTAGTAGAAAGTAGAAACGATACAACACATGGTCTTTAGATATGAGACCGCACGCAGTTTCTTCACTAAGTATTTGATGTAGATTTTTGCATAATTGAGACACAACTACTTGTTAAGGTTTTGTTAGCAATATTTTGTTAAACAGAGCTTCAGAGGCTCATTTCTTTGTGTCATCCAAAGTGTTGCACTTTTTAGATGTCTTTTTTTTTTTATATGCACAAAAATGTAGGAAAGTCACAGATACTTTCACCAATTTCTATTGAATCTTTTGATGTTTTCAAGTGTATAAAAATAGTTAAGTGTGTGTTTGTGTCTTTCTTACACCACGGATAAAATTAAGAGCCGAGTGAATCAGAGTAATATCTATGCTAAAACATCACAGTAAAGACATTTGATATCTTTGTAAAACCCAGAATCAAATAAGCAGAGCTTGGAGCCGAAGGAGAGCACGAGAGTTTCAAAGAATAGAGTAAGCACGAACTACCTCAATCACTGGGGCTTGGCACATGGGACATTTTCCTCCCGCTTCGACTAGCTTCTTTGCACACTTCTCGCAGGTGTTCATATGTCCGCATCTATTGTTGTTTTCGAATAAAACAAGAAAAACAGCGATATCAATTGGGGAACATAACTAACACAACTGCTCTAGTATTTTCATAGTTCATACATACCTATACAATAAAGAATCGATGTTGCTCTCGCAGCATACGCAGCAGATCCCTTTTCTTACATATTCCCATTTTGACTCGTAACTCTCAGTGTCCTTGGATGGACCTGTGAATCGATTAAGGTGCTTCCATAAGAAAAAAAAGTTGCATTCTATGTTGTGAATCATCATATGTAAAATCATAAAGTGAGTTGGGACTAATAGAAAACCTGATTGGTCAATAGAGCGGTGCATTGCAGCAGAGACCTCTTGTCTTATGGACCGTTGTAACTCGAGTTGCATTTCCATGCAAGCCTCCAGCATTCTTTGCAAGTTATCCATCCTTTGCTGTATTCTACCCATGTCGACCCTCAAATCGTTGATCGAATCCCAATCCTACAGAGATATTGTTGATCAAGTTAACAAATAAGCACGACAGCATATAATATGTAAACTAATGATTTCCTTCATCTATAGAAAAGACGATTGCTTTCTCAATAAGGATCCACTTTGGGACTAGTCTTACCATTCCGATGCCCTGATGCAAATCATGTGCCGGCCAGTTTGAATGAGATCGATCATGGTCCCACCGTGGCTGAATAGGGATCACTGGGGAGGGTAGAGACAAAGGAGGAGATTCAACAGCATCAAGTTCTTGACCACCAGTCTGAGCATCATCCTGCTGTTCTGTATCTTCACCTACTATTGTATGGTCAGAATAAGTCTCGTGTTCTTCCCAGTCGACAGGATTTTGACTTCGTCTGTCCATGTAAGATTGTATCAACTGGTTAAGATTTTCCCTAAACCCGCTCTGCAGAAGATTTGAGACACGTCTCCTGTAGTGCCAACAGCAAGCCATCAGATACATAGAATGAGGTTGAAAAGTGTGGCCACTACGGCAGAAATTTACTAGATTTCTTACCTGCTCGAGAGTTCTCGGAGTTCCATGTTGTTTTCAGTATCATCATCTGGAGGAAAGAATGTCGCTGCCCTTCCAATTGAAACCGTGTCCTGATCAGAATGTTCTTCCGACCAGTCTTGTATTGTGCTTTGAAGATCAGTATCATCAGGCTGCATCTCCGTGAGTTCTGTGAGAACATGGGCTTCTCTCTCCTCGTCCACGGATGATATCTGGGATAACTGATTCGGAAAATTCTCAGGAACATCTGTATCTGCTTCCTCTTCAGCGTCATCTCTCCATGCACTGGTTTCACCATTGATAAGTTGCCAACCAGATTCTTCGTTTTCCATAGTCTCCTCCTCGGATTGTTCCTCTAGAGTGACATTTAGATTAATGTTTTCAACCAGATTCTCCTGGAAATTTGTTGTCCTGTTTATCGGTCCCATGGTGGCAATTTCTTCGGAACTTTGCAGAGACTGTTCATAAGGTATCTCGATAGTTCCTCGTAATTGACAGCCGTATCTGATCGCGTCTCCATGAATTGAAGAGGATGAACACCCAGTAGCATCCTCCCTTTGATGGCTATTCAGGTCCACTTCAGCATCATTTCTTCTTTGAGATAAGTTATCAATTTCTGACCGTTGCCAGCCTTCTACACGTGCAGTCCTTTCTTCCAAACTTGTGCTCCGGTTATAACAGCGTCCAGAGTTAGTTATCTCATCCAGTGAACTTTGGTTGTCAGCCTCTCTGCCATTTTGATCTGAACCACCGTCTGCATCATTGATGCTATCTAGACAATTCAGGTCGTTTTGTTCACCTCTACTATCATCAGTTTCAGCATTTGATGAGGTCTCAGAGTGACTACTGCTTGCTTGACCAGAGACAGACCGGTCCAGTCTGGATATAAATTCCTCCCTGGCATGGACAAGCACACAGTAAGCAAGGACCTTTTTAACACCTCTAAAGCAACAGAAGTCTCATTTTCTGGGTTAAGCTGCACTTATATGATAAAACAGAAAATCTACTTCAACTAAAAACTCATACAAAATGGGACTGGCATATAACTTCAGGATGAGCAAGGCCAACAAAGACAAGCACTCAAAATTTTACCAGAATTGTTAATCCATAAAGAGCATAAAGGTTTGAAAGCATAGGTCTGCACAGGATATTTACCCACATATATATGACCTATGAAAGGGAAAAAAAAAACTTTCCACTAATACTCAAAGATTTGCACAAATTGATTATTAATTTATTACAGAAGAATTAACTACCTCAGCTCAGATACAGTGTGCATCTCTCTTAGAAAGCCCAACTCAGTAGCTGCAGATGATGTTGGTTTCTCTTTATCATCGTTGTCCCCATTTCGCAAGAATCTCCCCCTTAGCAATGCCTGCAAAAGCAATTAAAAATCATGATTTCAAGCTATGTCAGCCACAAACCCATGATATAAATTTGAGACATAGATCCAACTTTCGACTCCTTCTAGAACCTTCAAACAACCAATGTGCCACCTTAAACTGACCAGTAATGATAAGCAAAAAGATAACAGAAGGAAATATAAAGAAGCAACAAAGAATAGCTAAGCATATCAATCAACTCCTATGACACATACGCCAAGTTAGATTTCCTCTCTTCAAACAAATAGTATAAAATGACCAAATCGGGAATGGAAGGTTTACAGGAAGAAAAGAGTAACAATCGTAAATTCCCTCAAGTATGTTTACATCCTCCATCCGTTTATGAATTTCACTAATCATTTTAGAAAAACAATATGACTACTTATCTTTAGTCATTGTTCGTCTGAGAAAACAGGCTTGAAATTGTATCAACTAATGCTAATTATTAGCGCAAAATAGAATTAGGACTGTTGGGGCCTATTTACAGTCTTAAAGAATATATTGGTGATTGAGTAGCCTGTAAGTGTATCTGACGGTGGTTTTGGACAATATAGCGCAGGTTAATTTTTTATTATTTGGGAAAACTTACTTAAAGATAACATATTCAATGTTACAAAGACAAGTAACAGAAAGGCAAGAAACAGTCAAAAATTCTAATGAGCAAACCTGAATGCGGTTGCGATGAGCAAAGTTTGATACAGCATGATGCTGCATCAAACCCTCCAGCTCTCTTTGCCTTTCCCTCTCAGCCATTTTTAACATATCTACCCACACTTGCCTACCACACAACTTGCGTATGCCTCTTCTCGCATGTTCATTCTGGATGCAGTTTGCATTAGCAACCATTCCATCAACTACTCTTTCAATCTGACTAGTACCTTCAATAGGTTGTTCTTCCCTTTGATCACCAAGAGCAGGCCTCTGCTGGCTATTCATCTGAACCATCTCCCTTATGATCCTCACCCTTTCCTGTTCAGTTTCACCAAGCCATTCTGCTCTTGAGCTGTTCGTTGCGTGGGAAGCAGAATCAGTATGTTGACCTGTCCCAGAGCTCGTCCACTCACGAAAAATTTGTCTAACTCTTTCCCTTTCACCCATCCCCAGATCAGAAAAATGCTCGCTCTGAAAAGGGCCGAGATCCTCACTCGAGTTATGTGACCCAACATGACTCTGGGTGGGAGACCATCCACCAAGTTCATTCTCACCCAGATTATCACTATCTCTAACAATATCATGTGCACTAATATTACTGTCACAACCATTTCCCCTCAAAGCACTAGAAGGAGAAGAACCACTCCTCCTCTCACGAGCATGACCCATCACGTGATCATCCTCAAGTTCCCTCCACATCTGTAGAAGTGAGGATGCCCGGACGCTTGGCCTTCCTTCATTTTCCCTCTGTCTAGATGCCCGAACCTCAGAGTCCCGGGGGAAAGATGAATCGATCGCCAAAATGTTTTGCAGGCCAGCAATAGCCATTTGATCAATCTTTAACAAACCCTTTAACTGTATTAGCAAAAAGCCTAATTATCTACAAAATATACACAAAACTGGCTTCTCCAGATAGATTTAGATCATCTCCTATGGTGCTCATCAATTTCAATACCTCAGAAATTTCATCTGACCAAGACACTTAAAGCCTCGTTGCACTGAAATCATATTCTTATCGTCCAACAACATTCTCCACCAAAATAAAGATCTCTTTGCAGTGATTGCAACCTCCTAGAGGATAAAAACTTAGCTTCAAGCAAAGCACCTAAGAAAAAAAAACAAAATATTCACAATTAAGATGAATCAAATCCAAATTTCAAAAAGATGATCTCTATATCAACAAATCACCGACTCTAAGCTCGATATAGAGCCGAAAAAATACAGAATTCAAAATCAGATTCCCGATCAAATAATGTAAATTAAGAACCCTAAATCTCACATTCTAATCCGTTTACGCAGTC